TGTACAGTTATATTGTATTTATTGTATAAATATAATGTACTGTTTATAACAGTAGTACCTATAAACAGTATATATCGTATATATAAACAACAATACAACAGAGACATTATGTAACTATCTTTGAGAAATATTTCAAAGTAACATAGACACATGGAATCACTTAATCACCCTTCATTCTCATTCTCAACAACCCTGTTTTTTAAAGGCTGTTTGTTTTGTACAAGAGAATAATAGTTAAAATATTTTTTTCAAAGTAATCTTTGTAATCAATATGCTCACATATAACTTGGACAGTATGTATACACATATATATTTCTTTATACATATATAAAGATAACTTCTAGTAATATTTTTTATAGTTTTTATATTTGTATACACTGACTAGGCTAAGGGTTTCAGTTTTAACTAGCAGTATGTAGATTTTATAAGATTATGTCAAAGTAGAAAGTTGTATGAATTTATGAAATTTGTTAGAAATTTTTACTATGTAATCCTCATAGAGGGCATGTCATTAAATTAAATATAATTGGAATTACGTGATTGTAATTATAGAATTGCAAATAAAAATATAGAACAATACAATTATTATTCGTAATTATATATCCAAAGTTTTAAAATGTTTAAGCTGTTATCATTTTTGCTTTATGTATCCACATAACTGTATCTGTATTTCAAGCTCTATGTATCTATCTGTGTATCTACAGAAAGTCTATCTATTTATGTATCTATCTACTACCTCTATCTGTAAGGTTTTAGAACCTCAGAATGAAATTGTTGATCTAGACACTGATTTAGGCAGAATGCTCAGTAGTTTACCTGATCTCTAACCTAGCAGTTTCCTTTACAATTGTGACAAAATATCTCTAGATGTCACAAAATTATCATTAGTAAGAAAATTATCCTAGATGAGAATGAGTAGTTGATCTCTGATTCCTCTCTTTATATTTTTTATTTGTAAAGACACATTTTTTGAATATTTTAAATATGAAAGTTTGGACATAGCTTATTTACCCTAGGTTTGCATAATAAATGTTAATCTCTTGCAAATATTTGTAATAAATTGACCTTGATATTGCATTTATCCAGAATAGGCTTTCTAATAAAAACAAATGGAAAAATACAATCTGACAGTGGTACACGAGTTCATTCTGAAAGGCATCACATCACGCCCTGAACTGCAGGCTCCATTATTTGGGCTGTTCCTCATCATCTACGTGATCTCAGTGCTGGGCAACTTGGGCATGATCATCCTCACCAAGGTGGACCAGAGCCTGCAAACACCCATGTACTTTTTTCTTAGACACCTGGCTACTACAGATCTTGGTTATTCTACAGTTGTGGGCCCAAAAATGTTGGTATGTTTTGTTGTGGATCAGAATACCATCTCCTATTATTTGTGTGCTACACAGCTAGCTTTCTTTCTTGTGTTCATTGCTTCTGAACTTTTTATTCTATCCGCAATGGCTTATGACCGCTATGTGGCCATCTGTAACCCTCTCCTCTACTCAGTCATCATGTCACAGAAGGTATGTCATATACTAGTAGCAGTTCCCTATCTCTACAGTACATTTGTGTCCCTTCTGGTCACCATAAAGATTTTCACCTTACCCTTCTGTGACTACAATGTCATCAGTCATTTCTACTGTGACAG